ACCATTCACTTAATAGCAGGTCGCGTGTCGTTCAGTTGCAGTAGGTACAAGAACAATTATTTCGCTCTTTAGGGAGTTGACATTGGAGGGCTAGGTGTAATCAGACAGTTGATATTGATTCTTTGTGATTCATGAAGCGACCAACAGAGAGAACTCCACCAGCGAATTTGACCTGCAAAGGCTATTGGCTTTTAAACGCCCGCATAACCTGAAACAAACGACGGTTTGGCGTAACCAATCAGCGAAGACACCAAATTTAGCCCAGAATAGAAACCTCACCAGTCACCCAAGGTAGCGGCTGGTCCTTTCTGTTCATGTAATTATAAGAGAGCTGGATCATGGAAGAAGAGAGAAGAAAACTGGGTTTTTCATTTGAGTTTGTTGAAGTTAACTTAAACTCTCAAGTTGTGTCAAATAGACTATGTTGACATTTTGAGCCTCATGCTTGGTTGGCATGAAACCACCGGGCGGTTGCAACACTGCATCTCTCTTTCACCTGTGATAACCCTGCAGACCCAATTACACTACACCAACTTGGCACCAGATGCAGATTTAGTTCCGTACTGAACGGGGGGTTTGTGGGCGGGACTCAGAAGTCATCAAAACCTCGGCCGCCGGGAGGAGATCGTGGATCCTGACCCAGGTAAAGAACCTGGAGCAAGATCATCAAAGTACGATAAACAATGAAGAACAACATACACATGTGTACCTAGCAAGAGGATTTGTACATGACATGACGATCCTGTTCGTTTTTGCCTTGCTTCCAGCTCGCTACGTAACCAACATCGATCTAGATGCCCCTTCGGGGTCTAGTTTCATGATCCTGCACACCATGATGATAGTAATTTCCAGAAAGGCCTGAATAAACTGAGAGGATTATTTCATTGCGACAGCAACGATGCAATAACCGGAGATTACTTCCATGACAGCCCGGCCTGGTCCATTTGCCAGCTGAGTTTACTTTCCCGTCCATCCATGCTAAGCAGAGATGAACAGGGTCGACCACCTTTCTAGATTGAGGTTCCAACGGCCCGGGTGGGTATACAGGGAGATCCTCGTTAAGCGTTGTCGTACGTCTCGTTGGGTTTACCGTATTATGTATTGCGTATGCTCATGCGCATGCGCATGCAAGACGACGACAGTCATCTTTTCGGGATGAACACGAGGGAGATCGAGAAAGGATCGAGGTTTCAGAGGGGTTGAAGCAGGGTAGAGGGTCTGAAGACAAGTGTAAATGATAGTGTGGCGCCTTTGGTTGTTACAACCTGAATGCAATTAATCAGATGGGCCGGATGAGATGCGGCTCCTTTAGGGTTGGGATGGAGGCACATGCTTTGTCCAAAGGATAGATACCTAGGTAGGTAAGAAAGTTATCAACTTAGGCATAATGACCAGCTAACAGCTAAATAATAACCATAAACCTTTATACCAGTAAACACGTAGAATGGGGTATCAACGTATCGTCATAGAAAGTTTACAATGGTTTTTATCTTTGATCCTAAATTTAGGTCTAAGTGCTAGAAATTTAGTCAAGCATACCCCTCATTTGGGAACTACCCGACCGTTGGATGTCACATTGAGCCAACAGGAGGTCTCTTCCATTACCCTGATATCTCTTTTCACTTGCATATCAACTTGTTACCATCATCATCTCACAACAGTTTCCTGCTTGCTAGCGCCCAAGGAGCAGGCGGCGACAACTGACAGAAACGTTCCATTGATATTCGGGTCTCATTGGGCTCCTTCTCTCCGACTTACAGGCGCTGACTCGCTTGATCTAAGACCCCTGACCAGTCGGATTGGTGCGTAAGGCGCTTGCTTCAGTGGTGTGGTGCGCTATTGCGCCCAATTGTGCCCCACTGCAGCCTCCAGGTCCCGGGCCCGGACGTGCCAACGGGCGACCTTACCGGGTACAGTACTGTCTCCCCCAGGTCACTTCTCGCGAGGATTGCTAAGGTGGGCAATCCATCGATTGATGGCCTTCCTCGCTCGCTTCTCTAACCTAACTTCACCTCACACTCATCACAATCCATCTTGGGATCAAATCCTACCCCAGTTCAGTTCAGCCCAGGCCAGGCCCTCTTTGGTTTCTCGCCTCGCCTAGAGCGCAAGCGCAGGCATTTTTGATCAGACAGCTACTGTACAGCGTGGTGCCCTTGTTCCCGAGCACCGGCAGCAAGACCAGGGCATTGTTTTCTCTTCTGTTCTGTTTCTGTTTTGGTCCAGTTGCTATTACTTCTGCTTTGCTTCTGTTTCTCTACGCTCCTTCGCACTCCCACTCCACACTTGCAACCGACTCATCTCGTGCTTTGTCGCCTGACGACTGGTCGTCTGGCATCATCTGCATTAGGGCTTGGCTCAGCGCTGATTATTATACTTGGAACTCGACTGGAGCCCTTGTTGGCTCACGCCTTAGCGCTACGGCTGACTTGACGTCTGCCGCCTCGACAGCTCAACTCGAACAGGGCCAACTTCGAGCGTCGACTATTATAAACGCAAGTTAAAACATCGCATCGAGCTCTCCAGCGCAAAGATCGCTTTTGTTCACTATTTTTGCCGCTTCAATCTCGCTGCCGATACCTGGTTCTTCCAGCGCACCGTCCAACTGTCAGTCTTACTGCAGCCCCGCGAGACCTTCTCTGCTGCACGCCGCTCATCCTTCGGCGGTTGCGCGGCCGCGTGCGCCAGATCGCACGACTGTCGCTAGACCTTTTCCTGAAAGGCATGTCGACAACGGCAGTTATGTCGACGACTTCTTCTCCAGTGACCTCTCCTTCAGCAGCCGCATCCTCTTCGAACCCTAATCACCCCGCGCTGCCACCTCTAATCACCTCTCCGCCTTCGCGCCGAAGCATACAATCGCGACCAATGTCCCACGTATCCAGAAGTCGACTCTCCCAATACTCGACGGGCTCTCTGCCTACGAGATCCCGTCCGACCTCACATATGTTTCCGATGTTCCCCTCGACTCTCTCATATACCCAAGTGCGGGACTTTGCGTACCCTGCTACTCATCCTCTGCACTATGGGCCGCCGCCCGAACCTTCGGGACCGCCTTCCGGTATGACAACGCCCGCAAGCGAGCATCGTAGGTTATCAGATCCCCCAGTATCATGGGAGACACGCATGCCTTGGGAGTCGTGGGGCACAGATGGATTCAACCGTGGCCATGATTTGGCCCCCATCCAATTCGACGGTGGGCCCCCATATAGCGAAGACGAGGATCTGCAGAGCCCTGTCGTAGCTACACGCCACCGCAAGCATAAGTCAACTTCGGCTGCGACAACGCTGAGGGGGAGGACAGGTCGCGATCTTGATATGCATTCATCGAACTATGATCATGAGCGGGGTTACTATATGGGAACTAGCGGAGACGGTAGCGAAACATACTATGTCAATAACGGCGGCGAGGCCAACGGCCCTGGTGGAGATTTTGTTACATATCCTCCAGGGCAGGCAAGACACAGTCGGGCATATCACATTGCCCAGCAACCCCGGGCTGCCGAGGGCGGTGAGTACTATCAGCCCGAGTCTGACAGTTCCCCATCGTCTCCAGGCTACAATGACGAGGACCAGTCTCGCTATTCACGAGATTATCAGTTTACTATTACATCGCCGGACGAGGAGTTCCACGGCAAAGCCGTCGCCCTGTTCGATTTCGAGCGGGAAAACGAGAACGAATTGCCTCTAGTTGAGGGCCAGATCATCTGGGTATCGTACCGGCACGGGCAAGGCTGGCTGGTGGCCGAGGATCCGAAGACGCAGGAAAGTGGCCTGGTGCCTGAGGAGTATGTCCGACTACTTCGCGATATCGAGGGAGGAATGAACAGCTTAGCTGGTCACCTTGTGGAGGGAACTGGCTCCCCTGATGTGGGCACACCTACTCAAGCGGAGCATAGCGGTCAATATGGCCATACTCCATCTTCCAGCAATGCGACTAACGGGTACCATCAGCCAATCGTGTCGATGTTCTCGACCTCGAGCAAAGACCTTGACCCGTATCCCACTGAGCAACTGGGCCTCCACTCCGGACAACCGCCTCCTCAAGTTATTCACTATCACGGGCAACGGGGAGGTAGTCAGGCAAACACACCGACGATTGCTCAACCTCAAGATACTGGTATTTTGAGGAGGGAGAGTCACGACGGTGGAACAAAGAGGGACTCGAATGTTACACCAGTACAGACGAAGCCGCCAATGGAGTTGGTTGAGCCAGGGGGCTCTGAAGAAGCGAGAGAAGAGGAAAGGTGATATGGTGATTGAATAATAACGAATTGCATGCCATGCTTGAAGAGACGTTCACGATTCGATGTATTCTTCTAATGGAGCGGGCGAATATACCAATAATACCACAGCAAGCTTCGATAGCCGTTAACAGGTGACTTGAGATTATCTGTAAATATGCCACGATGGCATAATGGGAGATGGCAACGTTCTCAGACTTGTTTAAGGGCAAAAGTGATCTAGACTGGCCGTATGGAGTTATGACGGGGGACAGAGATCAATGTATATAGGAAGCTTGTTAAGCTATGTACTGAAAAAAAAAGGAGTTTCAAGGGAATTACCGAGAGATTCAGAAAAGATGAAAGTCTTGTTGGACGAGGTTACTGGTATATCGCATTAAAGGCCGATCTTTCGGCTATCTATATATGAACTCATTATAATAGTATATCCTGATGCACCTATCATAAAGCAACCGAATTTCCGTTATTAACCTTAAGTTTCCTTCTGAGAGCATGTATCGTATTGCCGAAGCTAAAAAGCTTGGAAGCTGGAGAATAGACATGATATAAGTTGATTGGAGATTACTGATTGTCCACTTGCTTGTACTACCACCCCCGAGACAAGCCATCACGCCATCATATTAGAGCAAGATCTAGCGCTCGTCCATGACCAAGCTCGCTATATCACATCATACAACAAGCGAACGAAGATATCTATATCCGAGTTCCCGTAGTTGACGTGCTTTGTCCCGAATATCACGTGACTCATAACGTCATCTCTTGTTCCGTCGCGATTTCGGAATACCTGGATACGCCCACTTCTCTAGCTCTTCAGACGATACCAGCATCAACCTCTCATTCTCTGTTCTGGCCAATTGACCTCCAATTGACCTCATAATCAAGTCAAGATGTTCGCTCGATCCGCATTCCGCGCTGCTCAGCCTTTAAGGGTACGTTTTTTTTTCTCGTCATGCGCATTTGCGCCCCTCCATCATGGTCTCTGTTTCGGATTATCAATCAGAACTACATGATTTCCAATTGCTCGTCGCGAAGCTTGACTAACTTATTTCACAGTCTGTTCGTCGATATGCCACCGAGGCTGGAGGTGCTGGAGGTTCCAATGCTCTCCTCTACGCCGCTGGAGCTGCTGCCGTTGGAGGTGCTGGTTACTGGTACTTTAGCAAGAGCGGAGCTCCCTCTGCTGCGGCTGCCGCTGCGGATGTGAAGCAGGCTGTTGGTGTTGAGCCCAAGAAGGCCTTCACTGGTGGTGACCAGGGTTTCGTTTCCCTCAAGCTCTCGGATGTTGAGCTTGTCAACCACAACACCAAGCGTCTACGCTTCGAGCTTCCCGAGCCCGATCAAGTCTCTGGTCTGCACGTTGCCAGCGCCATTCTTACAAAGTACAAGGGTCCCAACGACGAGAAAGCCACTCTCCGACCCTATACCCCTATCAGTGATGAGAGTACGTAGCCGAATCGATTTCTGGGAACACAGCTGATTGATCGTTGCAGGCGAGAAGGGTTTCATCGACTTGCTCGTTAAGAAGTACCCAAATGGTCCTATGAGCACACACCTCCACAACCTTGTTCCCGGTCAACGCCTCGACATCAAGGGCCCTCTGCCTAAATACCCCTGGGAGGAGAACAAGCACGACCACATCGCTCTCATTGCCGGCGGTACTGGCATCACTCCCATGTACCAGCTCGCTCGCGCCATCTTCAACAACCCCAACGACAAGACCAAGGTCACCCTTGTCTTTGGTAACGTCTCTGAGCAGGACATCCTTCTGAAAAAGGAGTTTGAGCACCTTGAGAACACCTTCCCCCAGCGTTTCCGTGCTTTCTATGTCCTCGACAACCCTCCCAAGGAGTGGGTCGGCAACAGCGGCTACATTTCCAAGGAGCTCCTGAAGACTGTCCTCCCTGAGCCCAAGAACGAGAACATCAAGCTGTTCGTCTGCGGCCCTCCCGGTCTCATGAACGCCATTTCCGGAAACAAGGTCAGCCCCAAGAACCAGGGTGAGCTGACTGGTGCCCTGAAGGAGCTTGGCTATAAGGAGGATCAAGTTTACAAGTTCTAAGCGAATGATGCGCATGTAATGATAGACCTAAATGATGGCGACAAAGCATAAAGAGAACAGTGTAAGATCTGCTATAGAAGCGATATAGACGACGGGATGCCGTCTAGAATTGATAAAAAGTCAACCTACATTTCGATTTTGTGCATTCGTTAGTGACTGAATGTGCTCTTGTTAATACCGTATGACAAGCATGCCTTGTGGTTTAAGGAAATGCTGATAAAATTCGCTATTAAATTTATGATAATGCCTGCAAACTTAGTCTAAGTTTATGCCTAAGCCTTATGACACGAACCCTAAGCTTATGATAGGAACATTTAACTTATCTCGAGGAACCTACGCTTGCGACAGCAGCTCTACGCTTATGATGTGCTCTGTAGGGTGTTCAGAAATACATAGCTCGTTGTAGGTAGGTACATTTCTGTAGACAGATAGTTGACGATCTCCCCGTTTTTTCCTCACGTCTTTCAGATGTAACATAGCATGAGTGATGTTCATCACAATACGGCTCGGAAACCCGCTTATTTCACTATCAAATTTGGTCATAAATAGTTTGATAGGTCGCATCTCAGAACATATCCAGAATCAATCAGCAGCCTAATCCGTAAGACCATCGATAGCACTGTTAATGGAGCGTCCGATAATGGCGGACCACTTGAGACCATTGATGTAGTCCTTGGCGTCGATGCTCTCAACCCAACCAGGGAAAACAGCTATATAATCATCAGCATCTGAGTTACGTTCTTTTCGGTGAGAAACTTACCTCCAGAATAACCGGTCCAAATACCAGGCGCAAATACCACATGCTTGAACCAGTCACGGCCATCCAAGCCTCCTTCGTAAAGGAAGCTCCTTTCGAGCAACTTATATCTCCTGTTGACCCTGACAATGGTATAACCGAGACGGATCTTTTCGACAATGTTCCACCATGGAATGCCTTGCTCAAGCTGACGTTTAGCGATTTCAGCTTCGGCGTCGAGTTCACTAGCCTTCAGGTGGAAGTGCTCAAGAAGCTCACGGATATCTTTGAGGCTCGTCTTGAAATCGTCCTCGTTGCCAATCGGCTTATCCGACGAGACGGCGCCACGGATATTGAAGATCTCATCCTCGGTGAGAGCGCCTTTGGTAGGCTCTAGCTTAGCCTCAACCTTATCAAGATAACCCTCCAAAGCATCAGCGTACTCGGTAGCACTGAAGGGAATGATAACGGTTCCAGCAAGTTTAGCAATGGTCAGACCCAGGATCTGCGCCATAGTTCGATGGTACTTGAACCCAACGTCACCGTACTCCTTCATCCAGTAAAAGCTGTCATAGTTGCTGTGGTAGTGATAGACAGCACTGTTGCCGCTGTACTTGAAGCCAAAGTCAATACAGGGAATACCTGCATGGTCCTGGAATGCGGTGAAATCACTGCCGCTGCCCATGGTTGCGATCCTGCCGGACCAGAGGTCATTGACTGTCTGGCCAGGGATAGTCTGATTTGGCGAGGGAACCGCGCTTGTAACGTCGCGGATGATTTGATTAAGCAGAGGAGCTGCGGAAGCAGTAAACTCGGGGCCATCGACGCCAACATCGACATTGACGTAGGCAACATTTGCTTCGGACAGCCATGGGAGATATTCCTCAACCCATTCGGTACTACCGATGAGTGAGTATTCCTCGCCATCCCAGCTCGCGAAAACGATAGTTCGAAGAGGCTTCCAACCAGCCTCGACGGCCTTTCCAACTCCTCGGATGACCTCGTTGATGACTGCAGAGCCACTGTTGGGATCACCGGCTCCACCAGCAATCCAAGCGTCTCGGTGGTTTCCAACAACGATGACTTCATTGGGGATAGTACCATTGACGACGCCGATAACGTCCCACAGAGGAGTAGTGACATATTTCTGTTCGTTGTAAAGGTTGATAACAACATCATCCGGGGTGGGACCGATGTTGTATTTAATACCCTTGTACTTCAGGCCGAGATTCTTGTTCCAGTACTTGTTAAAGTCGGTCGATTTGGGACCGTGACCGTTGAGAGCCTTGAGGATAGGAAGGGCATCACGGTATGAGATAGGGATGGAAGGGATAGAAGGGGTTGCATCATCGACTGGTGCTCGGGGAACACCAGGCTTGGACGGATATCCAGGGGTAGATCTAGAAGGTCAGTTCAGACTTTCGTTTCAGGACATGGGGGACATACGGATCACCAGGGCGGATGCTCAGAAATTCTGCACTTCCGCGCTGAACAGCGCTGGGGTTACGTGCAGGTCCCTCAGGGTAAGCCTTGTACCCGTTCTCCTCAGTCCTTTCTCCATCATCACCAGGATCGCTGTAGATGAGGATGCCAACGAAACCAAGTTCCTGTGCACGTTTGACCTTGAGACCTCGGAAGATTCCTCCATATCGAGCAATAGCAATCTTGCCCTTGAAATCAATTTTGGCATCGACGAGGTCTTGATAGTCTTGATAAGTGCCATAATTGACGTAGACGAAGGAAGCAGTGACATTTCCACTTGCTGAGTAGCCGTGAAAGATGGGCACACGGTTTTCGAGGGATGTTGTAGGGTCTTCGTCAATGACGTCTTCCTCAAGAGGGGCCTTGAAGGTGGTGTCCCAGTCTTTTCCGTTCTTCGACTTCTTCAGGATGGAAACGCTGGAATCAACGGGGTAGTTGAGGTAGGCATCATAAGCCACGATCTCAGACTTGACTCCAAATTCCTCCCATCGATCCCTGGTCCACTCAGCCTAGAAGAGATGAGCTTAATACTTATAAACTGGCCAACTATCATGAGTCCTTACCTGTGAGTAGTTGGTGCCAGCCAGATGAGGACCTGAGGTATAGTAACGGCTCCATTCCTCTGCCTTCTTGGGGTCCGGTGTATCAAAGAGAATACGCTCTAACTCCTCATAACTTAGACGGCTCTTGCCGGGTAACCAAGAGCCAGGGTGGCCGTGATGATGACGGGGCCCAATGAAGAAAGTTTGGAAAACGAATAAGCCAAAGCCGCCGACGAGAATCACAGAGCAAATCAGAGTGAAGAATCGACGCCAGGTCTGATGAGGGTACCTCCTCCGGGGAGGGCCGACCCGAACGGTTTGGATGAGGGGAGTGTTCTCGTCTGGCATTTTCTCTTGCTCCAGATGGGAGGAGTTACTGAATATTGCGGTTTAGTATCAGTCTCAAGCCTCGATGGTGGGTTTGGTCCAGCTTGGATGACGATGTCCGGAAAGTGGAGGGAGATAATGGTAAGGCCCTGTAGGTGTTGAACTCACATCCGACTCATGATGAAGGCGTCCTAGCTGCTCCTGGGGCTTTTTAGATTTATTTACTCATGTATTAAGAACTTGAATAATGATGTTGGTGAGAGTTGAAACGTGAAAGGAACCCAGGTTGTAACAGGAAGTTGTAATGTGATGTGATAGGCGATATTGATGACGAAACAGACTCTTAAAAGTGATTGGTCAATGCTATCATTTAGTGGTGCCGCCACCCCCAGCCTCGGCTGTAGATGATGAAATCGATATTTATCATTCGTTCAGTGTTTAAGAAGAACTGAATAGAGATTTCTTACATTTATGATAATATTTTCAGATATTTTTAGATACTTGAGGCCTAAATTTGGGATAAGTTTTATCATATTAGTCCTAAGATTTATAGTAAGTTTTATACATTGTCTGGGCAGTATTTCTAACCCTGTTGCCTTATATTGAAGGCTGCAGCTATCTTTCCCTATTGACTAGAGCCCGATGGCGGTGACTTGAAGAAATAATACTGCAACATCCCCTTCATGGACCATATGAAAAGTAAACAAAAGCTCACAGAAAACGTTTAAAGATTAATCGGCCGCCAGCCAAGTACTCGGCACGGCAATAGAGCGGAGACAAAGCGGGGAATATCCGGAGGCTTGCAGGACGGGATGACTGAAGCAATCTAGGGCGCCGCTTTCGGGGGCGGCAGAGACAAGATGATGGTTGACCCCGGACTAATCGAGATAATCAAGTAATCATGGTTGCAACCTAAACAAAGCCGAGTTCGCCTTACCCAAGCTAGCCAAGGTCAAATGATAATGATTTTCGTGTAAGCCTTTCACTGCACTGGCCTTACAGTCAGTACTGTACTTGCCTATAACTTATCCTGTGCGTCATGATATCTCACCGATGTCTCACAGAAAGAATCTTCCTGCGGAAAAGAAATGATAGTAACAAACCTCGGCGAGTATGTACTACAGAGTGCTCCTGTGACCCCATCCTTTACCAGGCATTCACACCCACGGGCTTTAATTCTGCGGGCCATTTTGGAAAAGTTGGGGGCAGTTTCTTCCAATTATCGGGCTCCTGACCGCAAAATTGCCCAAAACACCCCTGCTCGAGTTCGTCTTCTGGAGGTTGGAGTAGTGGATCGGAACCCTTTTCTGCACTACAGTACCCTGCCTGTGCTGACCAAACCGTTTCTGGCCTCAATGACCCATATCTTTTTTTGGTGGCTTGCTTGGCTTGACCTCTTCTACTTTGTAACTGTGACTGGGAACCAAAACCTCTTCTTGTTTTCATCCCTTATTTGTTTGGTGCAAGAGTTGAGATATTGATGAGTTGATCGTGTATATCGTATATTCAGATTAATCATCCCTCGTGTCAGCGTCTCGTTGTACATGATACTCGTTGGTCTTTGTTAGAAACAAGAAAATTTATTACTTCGGAACCTCCACTGTTACTCTTTGCGCAATCGTTCCTCGCGATGACGACCAAGGACGGTCCAAAGCTGCCCAAGCAGCAGCTGGCGATTCTGGGTAAGTCTCGGTATTTTATTACTTCACGGATACCTGTAGAAGACTCTAAAAACCCTTGTTGTGTTTTGGCCTGCTTGGTATCGAGATGTCAATACACGAGCATGGTTCACGGTCTGAGCACTATGAGCCTCAGCCCAATATCGAGTCATTCTCGTTCCCCATTATTCCCGTGCGAAAGTGTGCTCCCACACAAATACTTTGATAGAGCGTTTCTCATCAAAAACAGAGGCACTATAACATGAAAATACACATAGCTCATAGAGACATCATCGTCCAGTCCAGGTATCCCGCTCCATCCGATCTACGCTAACCTATCAATAGCCATGGCCAGAATTGCCGAACCCATGGCCTACAGCTCAGTCTTCCCATATCTACCCAGCATGGTCAGCAGCTTTGGTGTTCCTACCAACAAGGTTGGGAGTTGGGTGGGACTCACATCTGGTGTCTTCTCCATAGCACAAAGTACCACTGCAGTGGCTTGGGGGAAGGCTTCTGATATTTATGGCCGGAAACCGATAATCATCTTTGGTCTTATGAGTTCAATGATCTGCTTTATAGTATGGGGCATGTCTACGAACTTACCCATGGCTATTATTGTCCGAGCCATCATGGGTGGTGGAAACGGAAATGGTGTGTAAGACGAAAGCTACACAGAACTCTTCACTAATATTGTTTAGTTGGTATCATCAGAACAGTGGTTGCTGAGCTGGTTCCTGAGAGGGAGCTCCAGCCAAGAGCATTCTCCATCATGCCTATTGTTTGGAGTCTGGGTTCTATTATCGGACCTAGTTTCGGAGGGCTCTTCGCTGAGCCTGCAGAGCAATACCCTCAAATCTTTGGCCATATCAAGTTCTTCAAGCGCTTTCCCTTTGCGCTGCCCAACTTGATTCTGATGGTTTTCTTCCTATTCTCCGCTACCATTGCAGCCCTGTTTCTCCATGTAAGTCCGTGTCAAATAATGACTGCATATGATCACTAACAAATCTAGGAAACCCTTCCCAGTAAGCGAGGACACCGGGATTGGGGTCTCTTGGTAGGAGAGCGTATCACTCGCTCTTTCAAGACCACCCGCCCAGCACCCTCTACTCGTCGACCTTCGTTTGTCGACGGTGAAGCTACTTCACCACTTCTTCCTAACAAAACAGCACCAAAGAAGAAGACACACGAGCCTTCGGAACATGCTAAGAAAGAACGCGTCATTACCCGTGCAACAGCCATGAATCTCTTGATCTACACTTTGCTGGCATTCCATTCCGTGGCTTATGATCAGATCCTCAGTGTCTTCCTTAGACACCCAGTTGAAAAGCATACTCCTGAGAACACCTCGTTTCCGTTTTACTTTTCAGGAGGATTTGGCATGAAGCACAGTCAGGTTGGCACCATATACACCATCTACGGCATCGTTTGTTGCGCTGTTCAGTTCCTAATCTACCCTTCCATCGTTGCTCGCTTTGGTGTTTTGCGTTGCTTCAGAGTCTGCTGTAAGTTTAAAATCATCATAGTCGTATTCATTGAGTTCTAACATCTTATAGGTCTTCTGATGCCACTTTCTTACTTCCTTACCCCTTACTGTGTTCTTTTCCCTACTCACAAGGGCCGCATGATTTCTCTCATGGCCGTTATGTTTATCAAGGCTGCTGGAATTATTGTGGCATTCCCATCTGTCACTATTCTTCTGACCAACTCCTGCACTTCTCTCCGTGTACTTGGTACACTCAACGGCTATGCCACAACATTCAGTGGTCTAGGTCGTGCACTTGGTCCAGCTTCGACAGGCGCCCTTTTCACATGGGGCGCTGATCATGGCTATGTTGTAACAGCGTGGTTCTTCCTCATGTTCATCGCTATCCTAGGTGCTATCCCGGCTTACCTCGTTGAAGAGGGAGAAGGTCCTTCCGCTTCTGTTTCCAGTTCAGCAGAGAACAGCGACACAGAGAATGACCAGGCTTCGTCTTCATCAAGTACGATATTGTTGCCCGAAGATTCCGCCATTGCGTCTGATTCTGAAGAGGAAGAAGAGCTGCCTTTGACCAAGACTAAGTCTAGGTCTGTGGAGCAAAGCTACGGAACCATGACAGGAGGGAAGTAAGGTATTGAAACAGTCACAGCACTTCGACGACCTGACAACTTTCGAGGATCCTACTCACATTATATACCATGTTTAGGGCAAGTTTAGGCCCATCTTGTCCTAAATTCCTGACTAGATTATGGGCTTCTTGTTTGTCATAAGAGTCAGGTGTGGTTGCAACTTCTGCTGCATTTGGCTTTTGCTTTTGTTTCATGATGGGATAGTTGGACCAAGCTGCATTTGAGTACATCTTGCATAGGCGGCGTCAAAGCATAATGAGTATGATAACGTCTCGCATCTAATGACGGAAGTGGTTGATAATAAAAGCGTTGTTTTTCTTGATATTGCTACCAAATTGTAGTTTATATAAATCTTGTCATGATGCCATCCTTTCAATCTTCGCCACCATGATGTATTGATGTCCCGTCCCGTACATAGAAAACCCAGCCTTTGGTATAATAATTTGATACTTTCCCCACACGTTCGAAAAAGAAGCCTCGCAGCGCCTATATCACCACTCGACGTTATATGATGTCCCCTTGCCCTGCCCGTGATGAATATGCTTCCATTGTCAACGCCCATGTAATGCCCCCTGCCGCGCTGTAAAAAAAGGGGAATCATAGGTGTAAAGACCAAGCAAGCCCATAAGATAATTTTGAGATTAAAAAGAAACAAGCAACCTCCCGCGGTTAGTTATGATGTAAATGTTGGTTAAGCAATGTGTGGTGAATAATGGATTGTCTTGATGATCATGACATATGATATCAGATTGCGGCCATTTGAGCCGCATGCCTGACTAAACGAACAGTACGTGGGCGACCTTCGAGGGTCACTTCCACGCTTAGTAAACGTATGGTGAGATTCCTCTCCGGACATCGGGGGCTCTGTACCCTTCTCGCCCATGTCGCTCCCAATCATGAAGATTAGGATGCGGTCGTGGATGAAGCTCGGTCGGATAATGAGCATCCCGTTCTCCATCCTCCCATCTCTCACTGCGCCATGGTACCCTCTGGTGCTCGTCTGCGCTTCGACTGCGCACCTGGTGTTGATCATGCACGCAGGATGGATGTTCGCGGAAGTGCTCTAGATCAGCGTCCATCTCACTGAGTCGTAGATAGCTATGTCCAACCCAGCGGTCGATTGTGTCTGCAATCTGGCGGAATCCTTCGGTATGACCGCCTTCGTAGCGGGCTTTGAGACCACATACCACAAAGAGATAGCTGTGGATCATCTCGTGTAAGAAAGTCGAGATGAGAAGCCGACGGTTGTACTTTGTATCCTGGAGGATAGGCGATGAAAGTACAATGAGTGTCTCGTAGCCTCCGTCACGGGAACGTCGTACCGCTGTGGTGCCAACAATGTGCGCCTGATACTGCGCACTTGCAGGGTGACTCCAGTCCCATGCGACACGACCAGCAAGACGGTTGCAGAAGAAGAGTTCGTTTGCGGCGGAGAAGATGCTGCGCAATGCGTCGTTGTCCAAGGGGAAGTCAGCAGCGCGAGACTTTGGGTTGATGAGCGTTCTGAGAATACGTCCGTGGCGTGAGTCGGTGCTTCGGTGTCTTCGACGGCTGGAACCAAAATTTGCAACGTGATCACGGACCAGACGTGCGGCGGCGAGGTCACTCAACAATCCTGGGTCGTTTTCGTCGGCGGCGGGTGATAGACTGGCGAGTGATGGCTGAGTAGTATCAGAGGAGATAGAAAGACCAGATGCTGTGCGTTCCATAGCGCATGCATCGGCGACGGGAGCGGGTGCCGGGGCTGGACCGGACGAGCCGAATAAGGGTCCCGGCCGGGATTCGGGAGCTGGACCGAAGGCGGCATCGATAGAGGGGAATTCGGGTCCTTCCGGAGTTGGTGAACGTTCGCGAATGACGAGAAATGAGAGGTTCTTGACGGGGGCTGAGTCAGGTCGATGAATCAATGGAGGATAATCTTCAATGTCTTCGTTGTATAAGAATTCGTCCTCATGATCAAAGGGTTGATTGTGCGGATATGCTTTGTTGATATGGTGAACTCCAGAATGGAATGCTGGTTGTGGTTGTGGGTAATAAGGCGATGCATGATCTGATGAAGCATAACCACTTGGTCCAGCTACAGCTATGGGTGCATTGTCGTAGGCGTCATAAGAAAGCTCATCGGCGAACCTGGTCCTTTTGGTTTCAAAAGTGAAGCCATCGCCGCCTTCGGAGACGCTCACACGCCTTTTACCACCCACATAGTACGGACCCCGGCCAGTAGCGGCAACAGTAGCGGTAACACCAAGCGGACGACCCCCGTCAACCACCCAAAAGGCCATGGGACATGCTCATCGACCTGAGCCGGGGGGGTGGTTTTTGTTGGGAATTGATAAGCGTAGAGAAAGAGAATCACATAGGGGGTTACAGTGTGTGATTCTCTGAGAAGCTTGGACGTTTTCGTGATGATTTTGCTGGTGAAAGAAGAGAGTTTTGAGTTGAAGGATCGATGTCGGTGAGTCCGATGGAGAGTTTTGGGTGGCGGTTTTGACGAGACGACGCGTGAGCAGTTGCAGTTGCAGCGCTGTCACAGTCGTAGTAGCAGTTAATGAGGAGACGGACGGAAGCGGTGGGAATTGGATCCGAGGAATGGAGAAGAGACAAGAAAGAAGAAAGACAAAACAAACTAGAAACAGAAGAAATAAAAAAGTCTATGTTGAGAAATGCATTCAAGGAACGAGAAATTCGATGGTCTCAGACCTAAAGCTTGACCGTAAGTTCTTTTTGGTAACCTCTGATACAAGACAGTTACAGTTACAGTTACAGCAGAGCACAGCACAGCAACTCTCAGTTCAGCTCAGCTGCTGCAATCGCGGGACGGGCCAGGACCAAATATGATGGAAGCCACCCACTAACTAATAACTTATCTCGTTTTCAGGGCGATCGATTAGTTTTAGTCGCTGCTAAACGTCGGTCGCCAACTGACAGGGCCTAGCAGCCCAGGTGTACAGGACAGGGGGGGGGGGGGGGGGGTTCACCCCTGTCGGCCTCATCACAGTCCACAGTCAGTGTCTTCTGCGCTGGGGAATCCTTGTCTCTGGTGGTTGTGAGGCGCTGGAGGAGCTTCAATTGATTCGGGATCGGATGTGGTGGGAGGGAGCATGACAATGACATGACACGACAGTTGTGAGATGGTCCATTCTGTGGATTTTAGAGGCGCCTCACTTCAACTACTGGATCATTACAGAATACCATTGATGTCTTTGAGGTTCAATAATATTACAGCCATCAATCAGTTGCGGTTAGACTGAGGAACCCTGCCTTGTCAATTGAGATTGCTTCCATCTTCCGTTCCGTCGCCAACCCTCAACTGGCATGGCGTCTTCTTCACCTTGGCTGTGTCTGTGTCTGTGTCTGTGTCTATTTCTATTTCTATATAGCGGTGTAATTGTATTCGCCGATATTCTTATTTTCTTCGTCATCACCGTGTCACGATAGTTTATAATCAAGTACACAATGAGCCCCTCTCCTTTCCCTTCAGTCGGACAAGATGCGCCCGTTTTTGCTATAAAAAGGAAAACCCGGCCGAAACAGTCGGACTGGCTCTTATCTCCAGGGATTTTCCTTTTGGGTATCCGAATCCAGGGCAACGAACCAGTTTTTTATTTATTTGCAGTAGCAGCAGATCAGCCACTGTCGATTGCTTGAGGCCTCTTCTCCAATGATCTCTGGCCCTTGGCATGATAGCCAACGGCACATGAGCTTAAGAACCAAGACCTGGCTGGAGCTTCATCGTCTGGCTCGCTCGCTTGTCTTCCTCAGCAAGGCGAACTAAAACACCGGGCACTCACTGTCGAGCTGACAACGCACCATGATTATCTCCACTACCAAGTCCACTTCCCGTCAAGGGTTGACAAGCACCGCGTGTCCGAGGCCGGGATACCCTTTTAGATCTGGCTGTAATCATGCGTGTATGAGCAATTGGCTATAGCAGAGATCCATCTGTACTTCACAGGGCTTACTGCCTACCCCTATTGGCGATGCCATTGAGTCTCATACGTGGTTTCTCTACTGTCGAGAGCCCAATTCAGCATTGAGGCCTTCTAACTTATCCCGATAAGCAACAGAATCTGTCGTCTTGACCTGTCCGTAAGCGCTCACTCTGCCGAGACCCTCATTGGCCAGGGGTTATAGATCCCTGTCTGCGATTGGTTGCCCTGATTTTTTGAACTTCATGTCGATCGATGCTTTTGCTTTCCTTGACATTTCTGGAAGTCTATTCGTTCCATGTTTTGCTACAGAAGAACCGGTAATTAATGAGACGTCAGGGTTTTGTTAAAGCACGGGCTCTGGGATCAAGCCGCTGTCGTCAACTTGAGATCTGTGTGTGCGAGTGACAGCTTGGAATATGACATGCCATGCAATGCTAGCTTGGCTCTTGAGATTTGACTGCCAGGGATATCGTGGACTTCATCTACGGTCTACACCGTAGAATTACCGTACTTCTGGTTTCGTCTCGTCTGTTTCTTAGCCTCAGCTTAACTCTTGAGACTTGGATCGTGCTCTGAGCACGGAGGTTTACACTCCACTCCTTCCGGTAACACCGTATAAGATCGATCTCGTAAATACAGATTCAGGGCCACTCTATGAGAGCATGAAGATCGATCAAGCAATACTGCAGACAATCTACTACGTACAGTCTATCATCATAAACTTCGCCTAACTCTGACCACAACCACAACACTAATGTCTTGCTTGCATAAATCAGCCTTCATCATCTTGCACCCGGATGCAAGTACCCTTTTCCTATGTAGTATGCCGATGCTACTAGCTTTATGCTTGTTAGTTTTGTTCATCATTCACTCCTAGTGCCCGCTCATTACTGTTGTATCCACCAATTCTTCGCCACGCGCCTCATTATTCAGTGTTCACCAACGTTTCGACCCCAAAAGGCACTTTCTCCACCGACGATCACTGTGTCTCGTGACGGTGATATCGTGCGGCACTCAGAGTCACAATTGTTTGGAGATTGAGTTATTTTTCTATGTGCCGGTATTACTTATTCCTTTTGTTGGAGCCTCCTTTTCATCCTAAATTCGTAGCTTGACAGATCCTCGCCATATTCTGCCGTGTCGCCGAAAGCCCTTCTCATTATAGTTTTCTCAGATCCAATCACTCTCTTTTTCATTATAACCCAAGTCCTTGAACAAACCTAGCATCGTCGGCCTGCTTCTCCAGTGCTTTCCGCATCCTATGAGAGTATTTCTGGCGCTGATGCTCTTCTTCCGTGATCTCCTCTGTATTTTCCCGGAAATCGTCGGGCGTGAACAGGGCATCTCCTGTGAAACTTACCATACCAAGCTTATCTCCTGTCCAGAAGAGGACATTATCTTCGTTTGGTCGGTCACGATCTTGCCTTGTCTTGGTGGATAGGATCTTCCTTGCGAGATCGTCGGACCCTGGCATGGAAGCGAAGAGTGATGCTTGAGTGGGCACGTCACTGTGACCAACCTTGATTCGACGGCACTCTGTATATCCGTCCCTTTCAAACCACTTAATCTGCCCGGCTCCATCTGAGAATGCAACCTTGGTTCCGTGGTTGATCACCGACAAGATGATGGATGAAGCTGCAGTATAGCGATTCTTCATAGTTGAGTTCTGCTGCATTGGCCCATCGCTTGATAGGTCCACGGTGTCCAGCCCATATACCTCGAGCGAGCCTTTGGTCTTGTACTCTCCGCCTGCGATTAGAGTTCGACCGCTACCAGCTGTCTTGCACTCATGGACTCTTTCAGCCGTGAGCTCTCCACGACGTCGTACTTCGTGATCCAACGTAGAGAATGGATAAGGTAACGCCGCCAAACTGGACAACCTTGAACCCGAGTAGATGGACCCCACGATCTTTGGGAAGTGGCGCCTATCGTAATGAAGAATATTGGAGAATCTCCCCGCCACGTAAATGTCGTCCGACACTGCGTTGTCGCCGGCTGGTCTTGGTAGGTGTAGAATGCTCGTTGGCGTTGGTTGAGACAATGAGGCGTACGGGGGCAATGGATTCGGATCAAAGATGCCCTTGAAAGGATTGTCCTCCTCCCCGGGAACATCTAGTCTCTCCACAACGTCTTCATGAAATTGTGAGGGCGCCCTGAAGTCTTGAAGGTGAATACCCAATGAGGTGCCAACAGTCATCGGGATACCATCCTGGATCTGTGATAAAGTTGTGATGGACCACTCGAAGGAGTGTCGATTTACAACTTCGAGGCGGCTAAGGTCGACTTCAATAAGATCTACAATTTTGGTTATCAGTGAGGAGCAATCTATCATCGATTCGGCACTTACGACTCTGCACAGCAAAGACAGCCCTGTTGTTGCTGTTATTAACACTGACGCATTCAGTGACACCTGTGTCGATCTTTTTGGACCGCCTCGTGTTCTGATCTCCACGGCCGTCAAAGAAGAGAATATCCGGTTGACTGGTCGCGATGATACCCCCTCTCTTACCCCTGGTGCCATTGACGTCCCAAAGGCATACAGACCCGTCGTCGAGTGGTGAGACAGCCAACAAACTGCCGAGGCCATCATCGCCATGATTGGGGCTGAATAGTGCCATACCTCTGACCTCGATGAAATGCTCCATACTGCCTTGTTTCAAGTGTGGCGTCTCAAGCCAGTTGATGGCTGGTGGTCCCTGGCGCTGGATGTATTCGTTGTACCACGAGACATGCTCGTCAGGAAATGCCGGATCCCAGTTTGCCATATCTTGAAGAAATTGGTAATGACGTTTGTCAAATCTACATGAATCATATTGGTCAAGTAGAGAGCCATTTTCGTCTTCAGCTTCTGTGGCATTACTTAAAGACGACTCGGGTAGAGATGCAAAGACCTTTCTGCGATTTCGAAGAAAAGCATACCATGATGAACGCTCAAAACAGTGACGTTTCCACAATTCATCATCTAGAACAACATCTCTAAAATTTCGTGAAACAAGTTGAAGTTTGGGCAATTGGTGAGGTTCAAGGTCTGATGAAGTAAAAATACACGTGGTCAGTAATTGGAATTGATTATGGAAAGGTAATCGAGGTATGATTTAGGCGATAGCGGGGTGCTGAGGGATAAGAATAAGGCAAGGCAAGGCAAGGCAAGGCAAGGCAAGGCAAGGCAAGGCAAGGCAAGGCAAGGCAAGGCAAGGCAAGGCAAGGCAAGGCAAGGCAAGGCAAGGCAAGGCAAGGCAAGGCAAGGCAAGGCAAGGCACGATAAGGTAAGCTGGGCACAACTCACAGCACAAGATCTGAAGGAGGATCTCATGGGGGAGCTCGTCCCAGTGACTCGGAGACTGTGCGCACAATGTCATTGTTATTGTCCTAGTATGACCGTCGACACTCAATGAGCCAGCGTGAGAGTTGTTGAAAAAGTAGAGTTGAACAGAGCGAGCTGCTTCGGTTGGACCGCCTGTTGGTCGTGGATCGATTCGACTCGATCGCCACGCTGATTTGCGAATCCAAAACCAAAGTGTGGAGTGTCCAGGTGGGAAGCGAGCTTGGCAAAGCTTGTACTGTATTTCTCGAGATACTTCAGTGGGGAGTGCAAGAAGTCTTCCTGTTAGTGCTGCAGTGCAAGCGTGACAGTGGCATTAACAATGACAAGTACAAGTTGGGTCAAGGCTGGGTTGAATTTGATGGAGAGGGAGCGGGTCGAAGGGGTTGGAAGGATTGACAATGGACCAATTTGACATTGATTGACTGGGATTGTCGCGATAAGCGATCGGACGAACCGGCAGTTAGAAAAAGGCGCCCTACGCCTATTCTGACGCCCGATGTCTTAACTGGTCGGTCAGGTCATAAATGAGTCAACTTCAGCGCCTTGATCGGTACACGATATATTAGAGGTGCCAGACTTCGATAGCTCAGGGATTATTCTGCATCGAGTAGAGATAGTATAATAAACTGTATTGAAAGGAATCCATTCGCTTGAGTGGTGATATTGCTTGTAGGATTGATGTTGGGTTTAAGAAGGATATGATCCAGTGTCTTGAGTCTTCTGACACCCCGAGGCTACTCTATCCATCAGTTCCAACACTAAAAGATCATTGATCACATAAAGTAAGCCTCAGAGCTCATAAATCTACTCGACAGGCCCCTGGCGTACCGTAGAGCGACCTCTGATCCTTGGCAGCTGTTGGCACTGCTCCCGCCAAAATCTGTAGCTGCCAAACCTCATGCTCCCAACATAAACCCTCCAACCTCCCATTCACTGCGGCGACTATGACGAGCTTGGTACCTCAGTCAGCTTCATTAGCTCTAGCGGGAAACTTCCCCTCATTATAGTGAGCGCAGTCGTTTCGTTCACCTCCCAATCATCAAGCTCTTCGACCCGTCGCGATAAACATCATTTCCCGCACACGCCGAAAGCCAACACCGCTTGAAACGGACAGTCCGCTACAACGAAGCTGCGCGCTCTGAGGGTATTTGTTGATATATTTCAGAATATCGCGGTTCTAATATCACGTTAAAGATTCTTTCAGGCTCCTCTCATTCTCTGCGCCTCACTTCACTTTCTTTCATCACACCCTCAGTCATTCAAAGCTTCCTCTATCAATTCAGATGCTTGAAGCCTCTTCAAGCTTCGACATGAAACCGCTATCCGAGAATGTAAGTAACACACTCCTTCACTCACAAACACTCAAATGCTAAACTCAACAGTCGCTTCCATACACTGAGAGCGACAATTCGGCCCGAGATACGCGTCATGGGCGTAACACCACCTCCTCGTCCATCTCATGCCATTCGGATCCTTTTGCGAAATCTGGAATTGAGGTTGAGGATGGCGTTCAGCTACGTGACTTCTCGTCTCCCGGTCCTGTCATGTCTCGCTGCATGAGCCCAGACCCAAACAGATTTGTTGCTGAACGTCCATCACGACTCGACAATGCGGACACTGGCCTCACTGTGCCAAAGATCAATGAGCTTTCAAGCGATGATCATGCTGCTTCTGAGTGGGAGACGGTCGCTGGAGAAGATGCGTTTGAAAGTTATGCCGAATCTTCATTTCGACCACTGAGACGTCAAGGCAACTTCAATTTTGGGAACAAACAGCAGAGCCAGTCTCAGCCTAATCAGAATCTCTGGGTACCGCAAACGCACAACTTTGAGCTCGTCGCACCTGGCGACCCGTCCCTCCGACCGTCCGTGCGAAATGTGCCGAGATCAGCTCCCCGTTTGCACTCGTTTCACTCCGTGTCCAGCTTCTACAGCGAATCGGCTCGCAACAAAGACCCAGACACTCGCGTCCCTTGCGATCCCGAGGACTATCCTCAGGACAATCATACACAGAATGCACTTGGGATGTACTCCCGGGCCTCGTCCGACAGCGATGAAGACCCTTTCAAGTATGACACAGATGCATACTCGGGCTTTCTACGTTCATCAGCCGAGCGAGAAGTCAGTTATGCGCTGCACCAAGCCGGCTTAGCCGTCTCCTCCAAGGAAACTCTCCCGCGATCTGCTGATGGAAACTTTCCCATCGTCTCGCAGAGAAATGCTCCTGTTGCATCCTTTTACAATGCTGCGGCTATTCGTTCGGCTTAGAATGTCGATGAAGAGGTCAAAGTTCCAGTTCATCGGGAGGAAAAAGCGACCCGCCGTGTTCCAGTCCCTGATAGACGACTGCAAGGTGAAATTGCTTCTCTTGTCATGAACCGACCTCTCACTGGTACGGAGGGTGATTGGCAGACTGTCACTACCGAGCATGCTTTCGATTCGATGCAGCAAGACTATCACGACAGCATTGCAAAGGGAACTGGAAGCAGTGTCGCTGATGTCTCCGACGTGACGGAGCGTGAACTTCATCTTCGCTCTTACGGATCAGCAGACAGAATCATTCGACATCCTCCTGGTAACAATAAATATGGCTCATACCGTGTTCGCACCGACAGACGAACGAAACTCCCCGTGTCTGTCCCGCAGTATGGCGTAGGTCCTGGAACTTATGCCTCCAACACAACGCGCAACTTTTCCCAGACCAAGTCCCGATTGCCTGAATCTACTACTCGTTTCTCCAACCTGTTTCGCAGAGAGCCGTCTGAGCAGACAACTGACCATGAGAACATCCTACTCGCAGACCTGCCTCCAAAGAGAGGCAGCTATCAGAGCCTCGACTCGGACGCAGCTCCTCATGGAAATGTCCAAACCGATGAAACAATTTCGCCTGATGGTGAAAGGTACTTCGGTTTCAGTTGGAATCGAATCCGCAAGAATCTTGGTCGTGATCCTCCCAAGACCCCCTTGACCATTTTTGACAAGCCACTGTACAAAAGACGGTTCCAAGAGTCCAACTCGGACAAACCTGCACATGTTCCTCACGATGATTTTCTGTCCAAGATTCCTCGCCTTCCTTTTCCTCTTGTCAGTCTTCCTGAGGCTGCGATGTTGCAGCAGTTCAAACGACAGAGTGGTGAAGAGGATCACAGTCAGAGTGCAGGCAACTTTGGGGCCAGGGGAAGATCGAACACTATCAGCACTGAAAACTCACCTACTGTCCCAAAGACTCCTTCTCCTGCTAAGAGAAGCTTCTGGCCTTCGTCCATGAGTGATGGTGTTAAGCGACCTGCACCTATTCTTCACCTTCATCGACTACCCCAGGCCCATCGTCCCCGTGACTGTAAGTTACAACGCCATTCCTGTGAACATGTTACTAACGAGGCTATAGCAAATGAGAGAGTCACTGACATGCTAGTCTCATCCTCTGCTATCCTCGATACTCCCCCTCCCACCGACCCAAAGTCAAGCACTCACCGTGTGTGGTATCGAAACTTCCAGCCAAGCATTTCCACTGCTCGCACTGGAATCCATACTCCTGGATTTTCCACCAGCGTCAATGGTCGACGAGTTGGTCGCTGCCAATCTGAGCTCGATCCCCTTGGCGACAGCCCTTTCACTCAGAGAGAGGCTCGTCTTATCGAGGAGGCCCGCGAGGATATTCGTATCCACCGCCAGCATGCTGACATGGTCGCCCAGCGAGGAAAGCGAATGTTCATGTGGGTAATGATACTTACCCTCTTTTTCCCTTTCATCGGACCCATCGTTCTCTACGGCAAGCTCAACTCGACTATCTCGTGGTACACTCACGGAGAAATGCAGTGTCTCACCAAAGACCAGCGCGGCACTCTCAAGCAGCAACTTCTCGTCGAGGCTGTTGTCTATCCCGCTCTTATCATCGCCCTTTCGGTGCACTACTCGATTTGAAAGTCAAGATCGGAATCTTTCATGCAAAGGTGGCATTTTGGGATCGATTTTAAATGTACTTGGGAAAGCGACTTCAGTGGATTTGGCAAGGCAATGATGTATTTACCGTGATGGGATGAGAGATGATTGGTACTTAGGCATGGGTGCCTTGAGACGTGCCTGGTTTTGTGGTCGTTTGGCTTCTATACTGGTTGGTGGTTCACACCGTTTCATATTCACCAAAAGCAACGTGCGCGGGAAGACCAGGTGACTCGAAAAGAAGCGTGATTTCTCTCATCAAGACTTTTTGAGTTGCTCAAAATATAAGTATACATTAGGATCGTCTTTCATGATTAGTGTTATGTGCCGTGTTGTTCAAGTCAGACACTGCCGCAGCTATGCTCAGGGTTCGGTGACAATCATCCGGTCGTTACATTTTTATAAGTTTAGGACTAAGTTCAGGACTAAGGTTTGGTATAGAGTATAAAACTTATGATGAAACTTAAGGATATTTATTTCGCATTCTTCTAAAAACCCTCAAAGTTGGCTTGGGGTATTGCATCAAGCTAGATCTAATCAGTAAGCTTTTTATATATATTTATAGGTTATTTTTTCAGATTTATGTCATTTTTATCATATCAACCATGGAGTTTCTAACTTTCTCTCGAGAAGCGACTAACACCTCTAGCCAGGATACCGCCCGTGGCTATCAATCCAGGGACGGGCATTCTACCAACAGAAGTCGTGAGATTGACCTTGTCTCAAGTTCAGATTGGCTGTGGACTTTCGTATGAAGAAGAGGGATAAGCACGCATCTGGTCTGTGGTGTCAGACGACTTTTGGCAAAAAAGCCTTTAAGTTGGTGTAAGGATACGGGCTGGGACTTGTAAAGAGGAGTCTTATACCCATACTTCTCGGTTCTCCCTGGAACCGGAATACGTATGCCTCCTACATACCTCAGTTCCAATGAATCTGTCTCTCTTAGAACCTTTTCTGGGATATATACAATAAATAGTAAGTATTTACTTGCTGGTCTTGGTATTCCCAAACGCAGCGCGTGATTGTGCTTCCACTTCATTACGCAACAAACAAGTTTGCGTATTTATAAATGAGAGAATCTGGAAAGAAAGTTTGACTCATGAGATCTTTGATGTTGCCAGGATAGATCTTTCCTGTCTAGAACGAGCTGGTGTAGTCAAAAGACAACCAATGCACCACCCAATACTAGTGAAGTTTTAAGGATAATCTATCATCAAGGATCCTAAGGCTATCATAAGATCATCATAAGATATCATAACATAGTCAGAGTTATTAGCAAGTTTAGAATATATACTCATAAATATGAACATCTTGAGTAGACTTATTAGAAACCCACCATCAGTTTCACACCACAAGACAACCTACCGAATGATTTGCGTCAAGCACATATATGAGCAGTTAGACTTAAGTATAGCATGTATCTGTCAATACTGGAGAAGAAACAGGCGAGTTGCATGCAAGTCCATCGTACCTTACTGCTTATATCACGGATCAGCCTTATGCAAGCTAAACGGCAAACAAGCCGCCAACCCCTCGCATGACGAGATTGTATCTAGGTCTCAATAGCCTTTGCTTACCGCTGCTCCATTTTTGAGCTTTTTCCATTTTGTTATATAAGTCTCCCAGCTGCATGCTACTTGCTCCCAGACTCCAATAATGCTTTCATTCAAACAACATCAGCATCCTAAACTCTGAGAAGCAACTGAGACAAACATTTGCCCTTCCTCTAGATATAATACATTTTATCTTTTATTATGTTCAAGAGTAATAGTGAGTTAACACACAAATGTATGACTTCCAGACATAAAGTTAGCTGGAAATCAGACCAGAGCTCATCATGAGCCAGTCCTCAACGTGGGTATTGTACATCATCTACACATTACATCACAAAGCAACTCGAGGACAAATAATTAAGTAGGTAAAAAGGCATCATTCCGTATCTGCATTCTACCCTGTCTATGCTTAAATTCACAGGCCATCATCCGCTCTTGCAGGCTCTGGCCCAACGAGCCCACAACCATCCTTGGAACATTTTTCCATCAGCTCTCATTTTAGTAGTCATAGCCGCCCATGTCCTAGCGCGGCATACCCATGAAACATGCAGAACTTTTCATATGCCTTGGCTTCTCCTCGTCCAATTACCGTAAATGACAAAGGAAAATTCACCGCGGCCAGTCGTAAACCCCATCACCCCTCGCGAGGCGTCGAGGGTGCTTGGTTCTTTGCTCCAGCATCAGTACTCCAAGATGTCTACACTGCTGCAATTCCTAACAGCATTATGCATTTATCGGGAAGACATAGCCTTAGTGACAAGGCGCTTGAGGGCAAGCTCCTGCTTCTTGAGGTCCTCGGCGGAGGACTCGTTGAGCTCAAGAGCAGCCATGGCGTCGCTGATAGTGCTCTCGATCTTCTCCTTCTGGCCACGCTTAAGCTTAAGGGACAGAGTGGGGTCAGAGACGATCTCCTCAACACGGCCGATGTAGGACTCGAGCTGCTGCTTGGCCTCGAACTTCTTCTGGAAAGCGTCGTCATTGCTCTTGAACTGCTCAGCGTCGTTGACCATCTTCTCGATCTCGTCGGTGGTGAGCTTGCCGACAGAGTTGGAGATGGTGATGTTGGCGCTGCGGCCGGAGGTCTTCTCAGTAGCAGTGACCTTGAGGATACCGTTGACGTCAACCTCGAAGACACACTCGAGGACGGCCTCACCAGCACGCATGGGAGGAATAGGGGCAAGAGTGAACTCTCCGAGAGAGGTGTTATCTTCGCAGTTCACGCGCTCGCCTTGGTACACAGGGAACTGAACAGTCTGCGGCGAGTTAGTCAAAGATCTCGAAAACTTCAAGAGACTGGATTTTTACCTGTTGGTTGTCGGCCACGGTAGTGAATGTTCTAATAAATTCATCATTAGTTTATGTTCATAGATCGTCTAAAGTTTCATAAATGAAGGATGAAGTTATCCTAAATGCTGAAAAACCTTAGGGCTAAGGTTTAGGGACAAGGCTGAAGTTGTGGGTCATATGTGGGGCTCCACGAAGGGAGCATGTGGAGTATTGGGGCAACTGCCACAAGGCTGGGATTTGACCAAAATGACAAACCACCATGAAACATCACCAGGAATGAATAACAAAACTTGAGAACCAGGAAATGAACATACCGCTTCTTCAGGGTAGGGCAAGTAGTACCGCGGGGAACAACGGGGGCGAAGATGTTACCCTCCATGGCAACACCCAGGGACAGGGGAACGACATCGAGGAGGAGGAGGTCGGAGGTCTCAGCAGAGGTAGCCTTTCCAGACAAAATTCCGGCTTGTACTGCCGCACCGTAGGCAACGGCCTCATCGGGGTTGATGCTCTTCTCGAGCTTCTTGCCGTCGAAGAACTCGGAGAGAAGCTTCTGGATCTTGGGGATACGGGTGGAACCACCGACAAGGACGATCTCGTCAACGGCCTTCTTCTCAATCTGGGCGTCCTTGAGGACCTGAGCAACAGGCTCAATGGTGCCAGAGAAAGCCTTGGCGTTAAGGTCCTCGAAACGGGCACGGGTGATGGACATGGTGAAGTCCTCACCGTCGAAGAGAGAGTCAATCTCAATGGTGGCCTGGGCACCGCTGGAGAGAGTACGCTTGGCACGCTCACAAGCAGTTCGGAGACGTCGGAGGGCACGGGCATCGCCGGAAAGGTCTTTCTTGGTTTTACGGCCGAACTCCTTCTTGCAGTGGTCGAGGAGGTTGGTGTCGAAATCCTGTCCACCCAAGTGGGTGTCACCTGCGGTAGCCTTGACGGTGAAGACACCACCCTGGATGTTGAGGAGGGAGACATCGAAAGTACCACCACCGAGATCGTAGATGAGAACGTTGCGCTCCTTCTCAGACTTACCGGCACCAAGACCGTAGGCAATGGCGGCGGCAGTAGGCTCGTTGATGATACGGAGGACGTTGAGACCGGCAATGGAACCGGCGTCCTTGGTGGCCTGTCGCTGGTTGTCGTTGAAGTAGGCAGGGACAGTGATGACGGCCTTCTCGACCTTCTTACCGAGCTTGGTCTCGGCAATCTCCTTCATCTATTTGGAGGGGTCAGTAAAATTGCGCTAGTGCGGGGGCGGGGGAATTGTCCGCCAAAAAAATTTGTGCGTACCTTGGTGAGAACCATGGAGGAGATCTCCTGGGCAGAGAACTGCTTGTTCTCGCCGAGGTACTCAACCTCGATCTTGGGGCTGCCGTTGTCATCGACAATCTTGAAGGGCCAAGACTCGATGTCCTTCTTGACGGTAGGGTCATCGAAACGACGACCAATCAGACGCCTGAGAATATCAGTCAGAAACTGTGATTTTGTGCGTTGGAGGTGAGAACAAAACTCACTTGGCATCGAAGACAGTGTTGCGGGGGTTCATGGCAGCGTTGTTCTTGGCGGCCTCACCGATCAAACGCTCCTTCTCAGTGAAGGAAACGAAAGAAGGGGTGGTGAAAGAACCCTGCTCGTTGGCGATGATCTCGACATTGGTACCCTCGTAGATAGCAACACAGGAGTAGGTAGTACCTGTGGGAGGACGGTGTTAGCGATTACTTTTGATGAGCTGTTCGATACATTGAGTGTGTTGTCTTCGGAGTTGATCATTCTGTCCTTCAGTGTCCTCTGGTGAGGGCATCATGAAGCGAGTCGCCCGATGGCGCACAAGAATAAAACACCTCGACAGCAACACCAGAAGCATCGGAAGAGAAGTAATAGACATACCCAGATCAATGCCAATGGCACCGTCATACACTTCGTCCGCCATTTTGTCTTGTCTGAAAGGTTTGTGGTGGAAAGGGAAGAAGGATGAAGAGGAGAAGAAGAAGAAGAACGTGGGGTTTCAAGAAAGGAAATTCTCCCACTCTGATTTTGTGAGCGACGCTGCGTTAAAAGAATAATAAATTTTGGAGGGACCTGTGAACTTTTTCTGCGGGGCGGGGCAGTGGGCGGTAGGGAATCCCCTCCACTAAGCCTATCGCGGTAAAGTCTCTCGCCTGAGTTTTTTTTCAAGGCTCCATTCTTTTTTTTCTTTCGATTCTGCTGAGCAACCGACGCACTTTTGAGAGCGCGAGAAATCGGAAACGAGGTAATTCTAAGCCGGAGATATTGATAACTTTGGTATAGACTATCCGTCAAAAATAGTCTGATATCATTATTTCATGTTCCATTTTTCTTATATTGGCAGTCAGTCAAAATACATGTTGTACTCATTGTGGCTAAAGTGCGAGAGCGATCTTTTGAAACATAACACTGTACTGTGAACCTTGAACCTCGAAAGAGATTTACCTTTGCCTCAACAAATCACCATTCAGCTTATGGCCAGTGGCAAGGATTTAGCCGCCTCTACCTAGATCAAATTTTCTTCTCCGAGTTCCTGATCCTCGGTTGCCTGAGGAAGAACCACTGCAGCCCAACTAGTAGCTATCACCCAAGCTTGTGTACCCAAAGATTGACGGCAATGCCGACTTCACTATTTTTTGCCGCTTTCGGAGCCGCGGCGTCTACGAATTGTTAACTTACTCGCTTGCAACCACCAGTTCTATCGTAGCATCTTTCTGACTCGCTATCTGACGAATGGTGACTCTTTGTGACCTTGAGGCAACTCCTGAGCCATTCTTGTAATGTAGGATCAACGCCCAGGCTGTCCCAGTTACAGATAGCCTCTGGAATTTGGGAACAGTGATGGCCTTTCGAGACCTAAGCATTATCAGGCTAAGCTTCGAACAAGATACGAAGCAGTGGTTGCCCTTGAGACTTCATTTTGAAACGGTTGATCAGTCTACAACAATCCAATACATAAAGAAACCTCACGTGATGCCTCGGGAGACACATCTCAGGCCATCAAACTGTGCCAGGTCACAACGAAGATGCTAATTAATGTGTGCTAATACGTAAAAAGACATACTTGGCAAATATGAGATTTTGCTTGTCGGCTCAGAATGGGTGCCAATAGCGATAGGCCTGCGGTGTTGATGACCAATATGAGATAAGACGATGAAGGGAGATCAAAGCCCTGGCATCTTTTGAGAACTGATCGGGTAAGGCATTGCAATTGTAGTGGAATTATTCTCAAGAGCAATTTGGTTAATTGTATTTGAGGAATCTTCGTGAATTCTGCGAATAGCTTCATATTTTTCAGGATGAAAGGGGTGGGCCATGACATCCTTGCAAACATCATCCAACCCACAACCTTTTTCTTTTTTTTCTTTCACTAAGCAACTCTTGCCGAAAATTTGGTGCCGAGTCGCAATCAATTATTGTCCGTCCTATGGCTCATTTGTGCTTAGGCTTTAGGTCGAGAATCTGAGCTTCCAAAGTCACCGAGTCAGCGATCGTCTCCTTCAGTGACGGCGCCTTGGGCTCCCATCCCAGAAACTTCCTCGCTCTCTCCGCCTCTCCCTTCGAGTTAATGCCCCAGGCAGCTCCAGCCTTATAGCCATTCTTGATCACATCGTCAAATGTAACAGACTGAGTCTTAGACTCAGGTATATACCCCTGACGATGAGCCTCCTCGGCAACCCAGGTTGCAAGCTCTTTCCACTGGTGGTCACCGCCGCTGACAAAGTAGTACCCCTTCTTACCCCATATCTCAGGGTCATCTTTCTTGGAGGGATCCTGGGTTGCTTCGATGGCTTTGGTGAAAAAGTCTGCAAGGTCCTCTACATGGACGTGGTCCCATTTTGCCTTTCCAGCTCCAACGAAAGGGGTGTAGCCAAGATCAAATGTTGCTCGGGCCAGACCTGGAACTGTCATGCTAGTCTTGTTGAATAGGCCAAGACCAGTTCCGTGGATAACAGGAGGTGCCACAATGAGGAACTTGACGGCATCTGTGTTGATGCCCTGGACAACATTATCAACATCCTTGTGGATCGCTTCATCAGGGAGTTTGAGAATGCGGCCAATGTCATTGATGTCATTGTACTTTTGCTCCGACAAAGGTGGTTCACCATAGCGCTGGTTCTTGAGATCGAACCAGGTCAGTATACCTGCTCCTGAAAGATGGATATAGTATCCTGGATTTCCTGCCGAGTGGCCAGTAACGAGACCTTTTGCGATTGCCCTGGCCGCTGGGAGTGAGTCTGCAGATTCTGCCGTATCTATTCGCAAGTTTAAGTCACAGTTCTCCTCTCATTCTTGAGATATGTTGAACTTACGAACAACCACGTCAGCCTCAGATGCCGCCTTCTCGATCACATCGGTGCTCGCAAGGTCTCCATACACGAACTTGACCTTGGGGTACTTCTCCGAGATGATCTTTGCACGATCTTCGCTGCGGATATACAGGGTATAGTCATAATCCGGGTGAGCATCGTGTATTTTGGAAAAAGCAGTACCTCCAACGAAGCCTGTTGGCAAGTGTCAGTTTGAACAGTTGCGCTTGAGGATCCATTCTTACCAGTGACTCCAGTACTAGGAGGACAAGTTAGTTTTCTCAGTAACCACATATTATACAAAATGATATATGATTGCCACTTACAACAAAATTTTGGGTGCCATCGGAGCGTCCACCATGTATGAGATGAAGTGTTTGGTTCAACCAATAAGCTTTTATATCGTTTGATAACTATTTCAAACTTCCAGATGAAAAAGAAACGAGCTTGTTCACTCTATATATGTGTGTGTGATTTGGAATCTTGTGACGGTTTCCAGGAAGCAGATCACAACGTATCCTCGTCACTTACAATGCAAACACACGGCAAGAAACTGCACCCGGACCAAACGAGACTTACACAAACTTGGATCTACTGCAAAGATAGTTTGACTGCATACTTTCAGCTTACTGTACGAGGGAATAGCCAATGAAACAATCTTGTTTGCACCTCAAGTGCCAAGTTTGACTTCGCAAATGTCGACTTACCCTATGCATATCACAAACTCAGGTCAGACCGGAATTTCCGGTTTAACAGTAAGCACACATAAACTACAAGTTTCCAAGAAAGCACTGGAGAAATGATCTCATCGAGAAATGCAAATCCTTCACAGAGGTTTCTCCACAATCGCAATACGGTGAGGCCCTACCATTGTTCAATCTTATTGTTGATTGTGCTTGATGTTCTATCTAGAACCCAACTTGTGCCACACAAACAATACCCTCCAGGGCCGTTTACTGGTTTTGAGCCGTTGACGCTAATTAACGAGAAACTCAATTGCTAACATCAACCAACCCAGGTCAAGTTTCCTAGCAACTTCGACTACAAGCGGGGCACACGATAGCCTCGCTTGTCTCTCTTTAGTAGTTGCAATAGGCAAACTACTAATGAAATCATCGCAAGGGATAACTAAACATGTGAATACGGCATGGCATCATTTGGAACCAATCCCCATCACTATAAAAGGCTCGCTTCCCCGGGGCTGGAGCTCTTTTGAACTCTCGATAGTAACACTCACAAGAATCTCAGGCTAACGAAACCACACCATCTTCTTGTCCCTCAACCGAGTAAACATGCCTAAGGACTACACCACCAAGAGCTCTGGTACCAACAGCCAGGTTAGACCCATCATTTACATATATATTTGTGTCACTGCTAACATGTCTCAGGGTAACCACTATTGCGCTCGGGACTACGGTGACAGCGCTTCCCACTCGAACTCTTATCATTACTCCAACACGTAGGCTTGAATCGACCAAGATGCATAGCAAGTGCTAACATTCTGTCCAGAGACGGCTCCTACTATTACTCCAACCCCAATGGAAGCACTTACCACAACGATGGACAAGGTAGCTCAACCTACACGTCCCCCAGTGGCTACACTCACTCGTCCAATTCTGGCAAGAAATAAGTGTGATTATGAGTGAAAGTGAATGCACCGATGGGTATGAGTGGTGCATGATGTGATAAATTTAATGGAATGAGATGGTACTGAAGTTTGGTGCTATGAGTCTATGGGCTCTTGACCAGCCGACGGAAACTGCTTTGAGGGAGAGAGGAATGACCGCTATGGAATCCCTGATGTCACGATCATGATTCAGACATAGAGACCTGTTATTTTGCCACAGATGGCATAGCCAGTAGATCTCTATCTAAGTTAACATCATGCAGCTCAGGTCAAGCTTCCCTAGCAACCTCATTGTGACCCCTAAACACCGCCCATGAAACTGACTGAGAATCCCAAGGTGATACAATCGTGTACCACTCACCCAGTTTTAGCTCATCATTATTTCGCTTGTTCTAAGTACATAGTGCTGCCGTGCCGCCCAGATTTTGCCCACCACTTCCAGTCCAAGATGTTAAACCGGGAGATGTGATGCCGGATGCATGATCCGTTGCAAATGGTGTTGGCACTGGCATCAATTCATCCCATTTGTGGTAGCTGTTCAGGGTATATCTCATTGTAAGATGGAAAAATGCCTCGAGGCATAGGCTCTGAATCCTCCTTACATACCAAGCCTCCACACCGTCGATGAATTCTGCCTTCCTTTCGATGCTTGGCAATTTTCACATGTCAATTGCAGATTCATTAGCCAGAACTCTGTATGCCACAACCTGCTTTGACTGTGGCATTCGACGGTAGCGACCTATGACCTGTTGATGCAAGCCTGGTACCCACCAAGGCTCACAGAGAACGACCCGTGATCCCCCAGCGAGGTTCAATCCTGAACCGACAGAGGAAGCACTCAGCAACGGTGCATTCGGACCACTGTCAGCTTTGTTAGACTGGCGAGCGATCTCAGATCGCTTGTGGATAGACACTGTACTGTTATAGGCCACACTCTGGCACGAGAACGTCTCGTCTCTGCGAGCAAGGCGAGCCAGTGCCTCACCTACAACGTTTAGGAACATGACTCCTGTTTTATCTCATGTGATGTCGCTTTCTGTCGCCGAAGAGATTTTCTGGCGCGTGCAACCATCTGCTCAAGGACCAAGACAGCAACTCGATCTATGAACTCAAATCTTTGCTTGACAACTTTCTTCGCTTTCAGTCTCACCACGGATTTGGGGCGAGCCACGATTAAACCCTGACAGGGACGAATGAAAAGTTCATATTTAGGCACTTCGGAGGGTAGCTTGTCATTGTTTAAGTAGAACAAGGCTTTGTCGTGAGTCAAGTATATAATCAGTACAGCAATATTTCGCCGTATTGCATCATAATAGTTGGAATATAAGACGGCGTTGGGTCTTTCGAGTTTCGCCCTACACCATCTTGCGAGCCTCATCGACTCCATGATTCGCTATCGCATGACAGATAACCTCAAAGTTGACTGAATACTTGTATCTTGCCATGAGGAAGTTGCAAGAAAAAATGAGCATGTTGTATTGCAGGAGACAGTTTGTATCGATACTGGGATCATCAAGGAAGCTGCGTGAGGGGTGGTGTTCGATTTGGAGGTAGCGAAATGCTTACCGGTTTGAAATGTCTCTTGATCTCGTCTGCCAATTGTGATACAACAAGCCCTCGTAACAACTGCAATGAAACCAGAACTTGTCGGCAGAGTTCTCTTGACCTCGACAGCGGCGACTAATGCTTAGATACTCTTCCCAAGACCCATGGCATCACAAAAGGAAACCATCTTGGAATGGTGACCTGGCAAGCCACAGCAACTTGCCTATCCCAGGTATCTGCCAGGGCTAAAGCTTCGTCTTGAGTTCGTCGATGATTCTAAGCTGTGGGTTAGAATCGGTGTCCCCGAGATAGTCCTATCGCAGATTATGTCAGTCATAGCTATTCACGGGGCAGATGGATCCAGTCTTGTTGTACTCCGAACTCGTCAAGAATGAGTAAAAGCTTTGATGGCGATTTTCGATCAAGATCTCGTCCTTAATGAAAGTGTCGCGTTGGGGTGGAGGCACATGATCCTCGATGAAGTTGTCGACAGCGGGTTTGTCGTTTGTGCCAATGATGGACAATACGCTGAGGAGGTGTTTATCCAGGCGATCGAAATGAATTTGATGAGATATGGTCGTATTGCCATCGGGAACGGCATCGCTGTACTTCTTAAATGCGGTGACGAAGAGGGCATGAAGGCGACCATCAGTTGCACCGTTATGGCCCATACTGGCCATCTGTTGTAGAATATCCGCACACCTTATCTGACGATGAGAAGAGAGAATCTGAAGAATGTGGGAGATGAAGGAGGAGGAGAAGTCAAAGAAGGATGAAGGATTTTATACCCAGAGCCAAGGTCGCTGTCAGAGGGGAGTGAATCACAGTCACCCACCTCGATTGTTGCTTAATACCCTAAAAGAGCAAAGAATTTTAGAAACGCCAGTGGCATATAAGAGTTCGCTTAGAAATTCTTGAAATGCCACATGTAAACCTATAGAAGGACAGCAGGTTATCATTTATATTTAGAGATTATCCTAAATCTCCCCTCTTTTAAGTGAGTGAATTACTTAGTATGACATTTAAAGAGAATGCTAACTATAATTATCTGGGAACTGCTGCTCATGAAAATAAATCTAGCTATGGACGAAGTTCGACTTATGAGATTGGCCATTACCGTATTTTCGTCACGTTTGAATAAGAAAATCGCGACCGACAACTGGAACATAGGAGAGGCAAGAAAGCCCAAAAAATTTATCCTAAATGATACAAAGACTTAGGTAAACTTAGCATAGATTTAATATAGATTTAGTAGACCTTAGACTAGTTATTTTTGGCACCTGAACCTAAGGTCAGATGTTTCTTGCTCCCTGAGGCTACCTAACTATGAACTCTTGTGTTACAACCCTTGTTCTTAACATGACACTGGTGCACTCACTAGGCGCTTCATAGTCACTCTGGCTTTCTTGCGTTTGTCTTGGGTTTCGCGCCTTTCACTACTTAGTCCCCTCGGCGTTGTCGTCAGAGGAGCCCAAGGCTGAACTTGTAGGCTCATCAGCGAGGTTAGTCGGTAGTCATTCGGTCAGAATGAGATCTCTCATTCTTATAAAAGGCAACGAGGAAAGGTGTGCGCTCGTAGAGTGTCTGTGAGGTCGTGAGGATAAACTCGTATATCCCCATGATTGGGTCCTGTAGCGTCGTAGTAGAGCATATTGATGTGATGGGAATAAATACGATATGTACTCTTTGTCTTGTCTTGAACGTCTACTCCATCTAACCGCAATCATGAGAAACCCGCAAATTTCTATCATCTCGTCGCCTTGAGTTCCCTGATAACCCAACTCTGGCACCTGTCTTTCCACAGTTGTTGCGAGGTGGTAGATCCAAATACTGAAAGTAATTTAACAAAGAAAGTGCTACGGCACTAGTTTGTCTGTCTTCAACATATCTCTCTGCTGGTGTTAGATCATATGTTGTTTTGACGCCAACCATGATACTTGTTCGATGCTTTGAGGCCTATGAGCTGATTATTATTGATAGCAGTCCTTCGGCATTGAGAAAAGGTGTTGGTAGTCTCAGCTATACCCTAGTAGAGGCGGGTTCAGAAGTGAGGCAGATCGAGAATTAAATGCCGCGGGGTCTACCGAGAACGGCGTCTTGATGATCATCTCACATACTTCTGCCACATTCTATCTCTTTTCATCATATCCTACTCCACTCCACACACAACCAAC